TCTCTCTCTCTCTCTCTCTCTCTCTCTCTCTCTCTCTCTCTCTCTCTCTCTTGTGCGCGTGCTGAGACCCATTGCTTTGGCTACCTTAGGGCTGCGTTCCCGGCGCTCATGCGGCAGACAATATTGTATACATGACAAACCACATCAGCAGATAAACTGCGGGCTGGGCACCCGTGCCCTCATGGTAAGCCAATTTCCAATCATAACACGATGTGGAAACAACCCCCCAAAGTTTTCCTGGCCTCTCCCTACGGCCTGTGGGGTCAATCCATATGCCTTTCCGCAGGCCTGTGACAGCCAGACCTCACCTGAACCAATTGGCTGAGTTGGTACACCCATGCTCTGTTGGAATACAGACCTATGTTCAAATCTAGCCTGAAATCAAAGAATTCTTACCTGGGCCGGTCTACTTCACGATGATGTCTCGAGGCCGTTGGCCCTTTTTTCGGAAAAAGGGGCGAGAAAGAGAGCGGGTTAGCAACCGGCGTATCTCAGTAGGTACACCCATCAGCAGCTCAAATATGGAGCTCAGTTCCGTTAGAGGAACTAAATGACATACTTCTGAAGAATTTGGGGCTGATTAGTTCGATGTTGATATTTCAAGACCGCCAAGGACGGGAGACGGGACCCAGTTCATGTAGCTTCCTGCGCAAATGCTGGCCATCCGGAGGTTCGAGTGGGGCTAAAATAGTACCCAGCCCAAGTGGCTGATTTGCGCGCACGTGTGACTATGTCCCTTTTCCCGCCCGAAAGGACAACTGTGTTCGAGGTATCATCATCCAATTGACCAGACAGAAGTAATTCAGAGTTATTTTATTCATCGGAGCCCAGGTCTGACCAACATCAGTTCATCGTCGTAACATTTAGCCACATAGGCTGAGTAGTGTGGTTTGATTTCCAGTCGGCCTGGGTGTCACCCTTGCGCATGGGTCATGCTAATAATGTTCACTGTATTACTCCACCTTAATTATGCCTTTCCGTTTGCTACCGTTTGTCCTTTTACGATAGAGACAGGATGATCGCCGTCTGGACGACGACGGAGGAAGGGTCTGTCTTTTTCCACTCTTGACGATGTCTTCCCTGTTTGCCACCGTTATTTACGACAGAGTTAGGATGACCGCCGTGTGGCTGACACGAAGGAAGGGTCTGTTTTTTCCCACTCTTAACGATGTCTTTCCGTTTGCTACCGTTTCTCACTTTGCGAAAGAGATACTATCAAGATGATCGCCGTCTGGTTCATGACGAACGAGGGGTCTGTTTTTTCCCTAGTTTTAACGATGCCTTTCCGCTTGTTCCCGTTTGTCATTTTACGATAGAGGTAGGATGATCGCCGTCTGGCCGACGACGAAGGAAGGGTCTGTCCGCGTAAACCACAAAATATCAGATCAGATGGGGTTCCTATACCTCCAGACGGCAATTTTAAAGTGGGGCGCCGGGAAGGGGAGGGGAAGGGGGGGGGCGGGAGGAAGGGAGAAGGTGGGGGGAAAGCATAGCCCAAGATTGCATTAAACATTAATGATCTTCATATCTACAGTCACCATCTCCTGATCTTGCGCGGTAGTGAATTCTCGGCCAATCATTTTATCCCCTTTTCTTTGTTCCCGAATCTTTTTTTTTTCAATAAAGGGCGACGGCCTCAAGAAAATAAAAGAGATCATCATCGACCTGTCTCTTTCCTGTTTTAAAAAAAAAAAAAAAAAAAAAAAAAGTAGATCTAGTGCAGTTTGTCTTCTAATCAGTTTAATATTGGATCGGTGGTCCATCGGGCCACACATGATAACCTTGCTTCCTCGGTCCTCCCAGAGTCGCCTATGTATTACATTGCAGCAGAGCGCGTCTCGCCCCCCCCACCCCCAAGTCAAGTAGAAATTCAGAAAGAAACGACAAGGTGCGGGATGTAGAAATGGCGGGAGAAGAGAGTCGCTATGGTCATCCGGCTCCTCCAACCTGCGCGTAGCAAACGGTTGCCGTTTTCCCCCGAACGCAACGCACCCTCAGCTTCTCCTCCTTTCGGGTGCAACTCAGTCATAAGGATGGTGCCTTGTGTTGGGGGAAAGACGACAGCAAACGGACGAATGAAAAGACAGTGCAAGACTGAGGTTCAGCTGCCGTTTCTCGTGGTCATCAGTCGAGTAAGGGCGCGAAGGACACTCTGGCTACGTTCCAGTTCTCCTACAGCCTCCACATGTTAGTCGATGTACAATGAGTGCTACTACCAAGTCCATGGCCTATTTTCGGTGCACCTGGAGCTTGGCAAATACCGTTGGCGGTGTTATGTACACGCATTCGTATACAGGAATAGGTACCCTGTGCTCGACAGCGACTGAGAAGGGGACTTCCCTCGCTGCTTATCAAGGAGCAGCTCCTTCCTCCTCCTCCTCCTACGTCTCTGCTCTCAGTGGAGTTCACGTTCGAAGACCGCTTGTCCTTCTCCTCCTTAGCTTCCGTTTCTTCTCTCCCGTCTGGTTCCGTTTCCGCTCCCGCTCCCGCTCCTCCGTTGGTCATTCAGAGTAATGAGTGCTGCCGCAGCGCGTAAGGAGGCGACTTCCATCGCCCCTTATCAAGGAGCGTCCTCCCCTTCCTCCTCCTCCTCCCCGACTCAGAGTCCCGATCCCGATTCCAGGATCGATGCCACCTCGGTTACAGTAGAAGTTGCCGGCTCTACCACTCAGCCTAGTAACGTCCACTACTCTCATCGATCACCATGGCTACGAGCTGGTGTGTTGGGCGCCAACGACGGACTTATATCCACTTCGTCCCTACTTCTAGGAGTAAGCGCCGTCGAGGACAACCAGTCGTCCATCGTCTTTGCTGGACTCGCAGCAGTCGTTGCTGGAGCACTCAGCATGGCGATTGGAGAGTTCGTATCTGTGTATTCTCAGAGAGATACCGAACAAGCAGACCTGGACAGGGAGAGAATGGAACACCAGATGGGCCCAGAATCCCAAGCGCGGGAGCTGGAGGAGCTCGCACAGGTTCACCTACTCAGTCCCCCGTCTTCCCTCGTAACCCCTCCCCGTCTCCCTTCCCCCCCCCCCCCCCCCCCCCCCCCCCCCCCCCCCCCCCCTCCCGCCCCCCTCCCCCCCCCCCCCTCCCCCCCCCCCCCCCTTACCTATCCTTTTGCCTTTATCCTTTTCCTTTGGCGGACCGCTGCCCGTCATCCTTGCGCAGATCGCGTGTGCTGTGCGTACTCTCCCTCTCCCTCTCCCTCTCCCATCCAGTTCATCTACAAGGTTCCCTGCGCTCCCTGTTCAAGTTGCCGGCTACGTCCACCTGCCTCCCTTCCCATCCTCTTCCCCCCTCTAATACGGTCTGGCCTCCTTCGAAGCTCCGTTCAGCTACCATGGTCAACTCAGTCGATGCAGCATGCGGGTCGCATCACATCTCCATCCGGAAATAGTATATTTCAATATGGTTATGGGAAGTTTTCATCACTGGACAAGACTGGTATTAGACTGGGATAACACTGGATAAGACTGGGATAAGACAGGATAGGGCGACTGGATAAGGCGAGTGGATAAGACTGGATAAAACTGGATAAGACTGGGATGAGTCTGGATAAGACTGGGATAAGGCTGGATAAGACTGGATAAAACTGGATAAGACTGGGATAAGACTGGGATAAGACTGCGTAACTGAGATAAGATTAAGTAAGGCGACTGGATAAGACTGGATAAGGAAATCACTGTCATAAGACTGGGATAAGGCTGGACATTGGAGGCACCGACATGGGGAGCTTACTCATCTTGTTGGAACATGAAGTTTTCGTAGCTTTACTGTACATTGGGGGTTTCACTGACAAAAAGAAGAAAGGCAAAAATAGCGTGGTTCCACTGACAAAAAGAAGAAAGGCAAAAATAGCGTGATGGGACATTCTCCTAAAGATGAAAGCACTCAACCATCCACCAAGTTGAAACTCTGAACGATCTCCAGTCTCTGCAGAAAACGCAAGTAAATGCTGCCTCCTCCTCCTCCGCTCTCTCCAAGCGGAGTTCCCTAATCTTCCTCTTCCACGTGGCGTGCCACCGTTCGTCATCCATATCACGTAAGCCGTCGCTGTCGCTGCCTCTTCCTCCCTCTCCCCTCTCTTTCCTGCGCGCTCAGGTACCTCGCTGTCGTTTGCCTCGCCTCCGCCCCTCCGCCCCTCCGCCCCACCGTCCCCCTCCCCCGTCGCTCTCGCTGCCTTTTCCTCCGTCTCCCCTCTCTTTCCCGCGCGCTCAGATTCCTCGTTGCCGTTCTCCGCCCCTCCGCCCTCCGCCCCTCCGCCGTCCCTCCGCCCTTCACCCGTCCCTCTCGCTGCCTTTTCCTCACTCTCCCCTCTCTTTCCTGCGCCCTCAGGTTGCTCGCTGCCGTTCCCCTTTCATCCGCCCCTCCGCTTCTCCGGCCCCCCGCCGCCCTCCTCTTCTCCCGCCTCCCTGCTCCCCTTCTCCTCTTCCCTCACCAAGTCGAGTTCCCTAATCTTGGTCGCTGAAGATGGATTGCTGTTTCTTTTTTTGTTGTTATTGGCATTATTATTATGTGTTTTAATTTTGAAAGACGTATAATTACTGTAATCTGAACGACAGACATTGGGAATGAAGAGCATGTCGCCCAGCCCGACGCCTGCTCGTGGCGCGTGGGTGCATGATGATTCTTGCTGCCACACTCAGCGCAACACCCTTTGCCAGCCGGGTGCGTTGTCATACAACTACCGTCTGCTCCTGTCCGCCACGAACGGATTTAAGGGCATGATGAGCATTATTGCGGTCTGCAGGGGAAGTTTCAGTCCAGATACGGAGTGTAATGAGCATGGGATATATCTAGCGGGGGGAGGAGGGCAAGTGTGAGAATCTGCAGGGGAGTGCCGCTGTGTGTGCATTGCATGCTAGTGATCTGGTGGCCATCTAATGATCGCCAGTGCCCCAATGACTCAACGGGAGTCCTTATCGCGGGTGTCCCCACTTCCCACTTTTGCATGGCAATGAGTTGGCGACCATCTTTGAAGCAAAAAAAAAAAGAAAGGAGTTGGCGAACATCTATATCAGATGGCCAATCCCCCAAGGAGCTTGATTTCCTGGATTTGCATGGTAATAACGTGGCGGCCATAACGGGGTTTGCGGTATTTGCATGGTCATCGCGGGGCGACTATCGCAGGGTCTCCCGTATTTGCATGGCAATGACGTGGGGACCACCATAACTGGCTTTCCCATGTCTTGCATGGTAATGAGCTGGCGAACATCTATATTAGACGGCCGGTCCCCCAAGGAGCTTGATTTCCTGGATTTGCATGGTAATGGGGTGGCGGCGACAACGGAGTTTCTGGTATTCGAATGGTCATCGCGTGGCGACCATCGCAGGGTTTCCCGTATTTGCATAGCAATGACGTGGGGACCACCATAGCTGGCTTTCCCCCCATGTTTGCATGGTAATGACCTCGCCAACATCGACTTCATATTGCCGATCCCCCGAGGAGCTTGATGTTCTGGATTTGCCTGCTAATGCTCTGGCGATCATAAGGGGTTTCCCATATTTGCATAGTGATGACGTGGCGACCATAGCGGGGTTTCCCGCATGTGCATGGTAATCATGTGGGGGTCATAGAGGGGTTTGCCCTATTGGAATGCTTATGAGCTGGCGACCATCTGACGGATGGGCATTGCCTAAGGGAGCGCTCTGCGTGGGAGACAACAGGGTGAGGCGTGCATATACACATCCGCAACTAAGTAAACCGCATGCTACCGAACGCATGGTTATTACGGCTGTAAGTAGTGATAGTTATGCCAAATACAGCTACAATTACCGTGCGCTCTATTTGGGGGAAGATGGTAGCGGGACCTCACTCCAGATATGAGACTGTGGCCACGAAGTCCTGCCGGCATTGCCGATGGTATGGTGGATTTTTTTGGAGTTCTTTTTGTTTTGGCCTACGATAGTTTCACCCGAGCTTTCCTCCTGATGAGAATGGCAGCTGTGGAACTATGGGTCCCCATTTCCTGGGGCGAGGGTCAACTTGCACGGATATATACATCTATATATATCGTTTATATGTATATATTATATATATATATCATAAATGTATACATTATATGTATACAGAATGGGGTAGCCCAACTTTTTATTTTTTTGGTTGGAGGTGTACTGCATGAAATAGATGGGTCCACCTTATTTATATATTTATTTATTTATGAGAAAACTACGGCACAGTCAGGGTTTGAGTTTGTAATTGCACTTGAGCCAAAAGGGCCGGTAATGGTGAATGTATATGACCTACATTTCGGGTCCGGTGGGGTCGCGTGGGGGTGTGTTGTATTCGCGGGATTGCCTGAAGTGCAATAAGTGCAATTACAAACTTTTTTCGTGACCGCGCCGAAGTTACCCCTTTATTTATTTATTGCAGACAACATCATATACAAAGCCTCTATCCTCAGGATGCAATAGGTCCACCTTACCTTTTCCCAGAGGTCATGTCCCATTAGCAAGGGCACCTGTCAGTTCTGGGGTGGTGTGACAGGGTGGACAGCAAAGAAGACAACAAGAAAGACAGACAGTTTCTATCTGCAGCCTGGTATGTCAGAGACATATCCAAAACCCTAAACCCTGAACACAAAACCCTAATTCATGGGTGGCTTTCCCATGAATTGGCTCCCCAGCAAATTCACTACCTGACCCGAACTGACGACCGGTACGACCAAACGATGAGAATTTGATTCAGGGGTATAAAACGCACCTCAGGGGTATAAAACGCACCCCTAACGGGCTGCGAACATCTCAATCCATTCCATTTTCTTAGTTCCCTTCGAAATTTTGTCCCCTTGTTTGTGTCTTTAACCAGTGAAGACAACTTGTTTGTTTGCTTGCCTATTGGTCTCCTTCCACACATTTACTTGGATCCTTGCACACTCACTAACGTAACTAGTTTGTCTTTTGCTGTCTCTTTGTCTCCTTCACATATTTCCTTGGGAATCCTTCACGATTGTTTTGTCAATGAATGCATGCTGCACCCAATCTCCTCATCATTTGCCGCCAAAGCTCTCCTGGTGCTTGTCGGATCGATGGTTGGCTTTTGACTGGGATACACCCCACCGATGATCAGACAGATCTATGTTAGGCGAGGTCTTCGGTACAGTCTGGCCAAGCAAGTTGCAGTGGAGTTAACACGGGTTGACCCCATTCGTGCCCACGCCCGTGATGAGCTGGGCATTGACTTGGATGACTTGGCGAACCCGTTTCAGGCAGCTGCTGTGTCAGCCATTGCCTTTGGATTAGGGGGTATCATACCTCTCCTCAGCTGTGCATTCATCTCCAAATTCAAGGTCCGTACCGCTCTGTTGCTATGTGTGACAACTGCCGCGTTATGCGGGCTTGGCACCTTAGGGGCAAAACTCGGTGGGGCAACGATATGGCGAGCAGCATTGAGGGTCACCGTTGGAGGATGGATAGCCATGAGTATCACCTACGGTGTGCTCAGAGTATCTGGAACTGCGGTCTAAGGAGGGGCATGGCTTCTAAACCGCATCTAGTCGCATCTGTCGCCCGAGCACACAGTTTACTTGCGTCACCTTTCGTATTGCTTCAAATCAGATCCCATGAACTTCTATTTGTCGGATCGTGAGGACCGAATCAAGCCTTGCCTGTCCTCAGGGGAAAATTGAACCTGTTGGACAAGATCCGATCACATTATTCAGGCGAGTCAAAACATGTTTCACGCCCCAAATCTGTCTCACTACCATTTGCGGATGCAGACAAGGGAAGTGGTGGAGGTCATTGAGAAGGACCACATGCCTCTTGCCTCAAGCATTGCAGGGCTGGACTACATCAACTGAAAGTTGAACTTCATTGCAGTTTCTCCAGTGCAAGCACAATGAGCAAGACATGATGACACAAGGCTCAAATGAAGACACAATGAGCAAATGAAGGCACCATCATGCTCAGGGGTATACCGAGCATCAACATGGGATGTGGAAAGATGCATGTCCCGGTTGGTGGCCTTGTTGGATCACGTCCAAGGCTTGCAATCATGTCGAGCAAAAAATTGCCATGTGCATTGTAGGACAGCTGGTCGGCCATATATGACATCTGCCAAAGGTGGCAAGCCCAGGTAGCAAGTGACTGGGGCGCAGAAAAGCTGACTGATCTCAGGTCTCCCTGCCCCTCCAAAGCACACAACAGCTCCTAGGATACACAGCTGACCTCCTCCTTTTCAACCATCGTCAGACGGAATTCAATGATGAGAGCAACGAGTCCAGTCCTTGTTGTGCAGACCTCCGATATTTGACTTTGTACTACTGCTGCGGCATCATCATCTGATGAAAATGCGGCTTTCTTTTACCTAAGGTCTAACACTTCCGCTCCAAACATGTTGTACCCTAATCCTGAATGTGTACAAGCTATCCTCCCAGTGCAAAGAGGGTGCGTTACATTCGGAGGAAGGACGGCAGTGAGGCTTGTCTTTGGTAACAACCCTGGGGCGAGGTCCCACTAGGACAGGCTAAGCAGGAGATAATAATAGCCGCTGGTCCTCATTATTCAAGATTAATATTACCATTCTCTCTCAATCTATTCAAGTAGGAGCTGGCCCCTGGACCACCACACATTTCGTCATCATCATCGTCTTCCAGGTAACAACCTGACAATCAGCATGGCTGAGATTCCACAAGCATGCATAATGACAGATTACTGACCTCCGATCTTTTGTTATATACAGGGGACCCTTGCAAGCATAGCCACCTCTCACAATCAACGGGATGCATGTTGCCCCCCGCCCTAATCGGCGGTGGTCTGGGAGTGGTCTGGGAGCAGGGTGGGGCCACTGGTGAAGGGGGGCCCGCTAACGCAAAGACCGACCATATTGTCAGCAGGCGTGCCTCCCATCTCCCTCCCCACCCTCCCCCCCCAAGAGTAAGAGCAGTGTCTAAGGCGAGCACTCTCTCCAACACCACACACAACCCCCCCTTCACACACACACACACCTATGATGGCTAAAGATCCTACCAATACTGACCAGGAGGAGAATTCACACCAAGCATGCCCCAGACAGTCAGCGGGGATTGAACCCTCAACCTCTTGGAATGCCACTTTTGTGCCTATGTGAGCTCCCTTTGGAGTGGGATTATGGTTGCAGAAGCACCCAGGGAAAAGCGGAAATGAGGGTCGGCCCAGTGGGCCATGGATTTTTGGAAGAAAGGGGTTGGAGTTGCAGATCGAGACATGAATCTCCTGTGTCAGTTTCGGTTATGATCACGACCATTTACGAGGACCCGAAGAAATGGACCTTTCGCACACACACGCACACACACTTCCTCGAACAAAGCAGCAAATTCAGAATCAACAACGTATGCATGCTTTAAAAATCACAACGGCTATGTTAGGCCCTTCGGTGTCTTTTCCCAGGGCGGAGGGTGCAAGGGTGTAAGCGGGATCTCTGCTCTGAGTGAGGGCTTGATGTTGTGGCTCACAGTGCTTGGAATCAAAATCAGATAGATGCAATCGCGTTGCCCTTTCTGCTGTTTCATGATCTCCATGTGGCATGAAATTGAACCCTCTCTCTCTCAGATTCTCACTCCATCTATATTCAAACATAGTGCACAGGGTCAGTAAGGTGCAACTGCAGGCAAGGAAATGTTTGTGAACTCGTTGAATGCAAGTATAGTAGAAAAATGAGGAAAGATTGTATCCACAATCACAAATGTAAAATGTCAATGACACAACGACTTTTGCTTCCATCAATGCCACAACCATTGTTTGTGGATGTCCACGTACTTCACACATCACTACATCACCACCCGACGATGCAGGTACCATCTTATCCAGCGAGTTCTTCATGTCGCAGACCGCCGAGACCGGTGATGGAGAATTCCAAAGTGATTATTCAAAAAACGATCTGTTGAGTCCCGATATCATGATGGATGAGATCGATGAGACTTTTGATTTCACTCCATCGTAAAACTTTATTGACAAGGGAAGAAAAGATACGCTTACTGCACATGCAAAAGCGGATCAAATACTTCAGACTCCACTTTTGAATGTAGGTGCATCCGCGAAGAGTGCGAGGTCGTTTTGGAGAAAACATGTTGCAAGGCATATGAGTGTCTCTTCTAGAACGAGAATAGTGAAGGTCCAAAAATGTACACAAGAGTAAAGATTGCTTAGAGGGAGGGACAAATGAAAGTTGTGGATTGCCAATATACGAATATTAAACCTAATGCCAAGTACAAGACACCACATGGTGTCTTATACATATGGTGTCTTATACTTGGCGTTGGGCTTAATGCAACTCATGCTAACGAGGGTCGCCCCTGGACGACCTCGAAGTATGCAATAGCCTGGTTCATGTTTGAGGATATTATTTTGGGTGAGTCTAACCCTATATCGAATATGACAGAGACGGGACCATATCTTGTAATTGATTTTGGAGTTGTATTTGTATGCCCTCTCAATACGTCTAAAACAAAGATGTCTAAGAGAGTATCAAACGAAAACTACAAAAACTAGATGTGTCTTGCACATCGTACCAAGTTTTATGAAAGATATAGAGATAGTTTTTTTGTAGTTCAACTTGCTAGACTTACCGACCACGCAATGTGCAACAAGTGTATCAAATCCTCTATCCTTGTCGAGGTAGTCCTCCCTGAGCTGCGAACTTTCCAAACATAAGAAACGCCTGTTTACAAAAAGTATACCACAAGCTTTAGAGTGTTTGGTCTCCCGAGTCTAAGTTTAAAAAGACCAATAGTTTGAGCATAATTACAAATGAGATAAATCAAGGGAAAACTATGATTCTAATGCAACATGGCGACGTTTGTCTATGGAAATGGCGAACAACATAATGCTGAGAACAAACTTCATCCCTATAATAACTTATGGGAAAAAATTGCATACTGCATCATTGTCCATACGTGTTATTCTAATTTATACGATTAGAATTTTGTAGCTACTTCAATACCGCAAGTGTTGAGATATTTGCAGACGCGTGAAGATAAACTTTTACTATTGTTCAGTTTCCGGTTGCAACTAAATAATTGCGACGATCTGATAAAAAAACGGATCCGTATTAGAATTTCGCGCTATGTTGGTCAAGTTTCACGTTATGGAGGATGTTGAAATATGATTCATAATACTATAATAATCACATTCACACACACATGGAAGTAAAATTTAGTTACTTTTCTCGCAAACTCAACGGGTCTAATGCATATACGATAGATAAACTCTCTATCGTGTGACAAGCGTCCTGTGAGAAACCTATGGATTATACGCTTTTGATGAGAAACATATGGATCCCACAGTACACTAAATGAATAGGGCAGCAAGTTTGAAAGATTAGATAGTTTATAGTAGGATGCACTGAGATTCTGAAAGTATGATCCAAGATTCGACAATAGATTGGTCGTTAAATGATACATGTTGTTAGCTTATAACAACCGATGTTCTTCGACTATTCGCATTTTTAAACACATTGATAGTCTCAGTTGTATTACATTACTATAAACACATTGATAGACAAAACCACAGCGCAGTCACGGTTACAGTTTGTAATGGCATTTCAAACCGTTTAGTTAGGGTCTGAGTTTTAAATTCAGTTGAAACTTAGGCTGATATTTTTTTGCAGTTCAGTCAGGCACGTGATTTTGTTTTTTTTCAATTTTTTTTTCCCACCACCCCCTCCCTGTCGCGTTGGGGGGCCACGGGCGAGATGTCTCGGTCACACCAGAGGGTAAAAAAAAAAACATCTAGTTGTGTGGTGGGGCCACAACCGAGATGTCCTGGTTACGCCTGAAGGGGGTTCGGGGGGGGGGGGGGGGAGCAAAAGAAAAAAGGCGGGCCATGTACCTGACTGAACTGCTAAATCGGCTATCCCGAGTTTCAACTGCATTTGAAACTCGGACCCTGACTAAACAGCTAAACGTAGTTTGAAATGCAATTACAAACTATTTTCGTGACTAAGTCATGGTTACCTCTACATTATAACTACACTCCCCTCCCCCCCCCCCACCTTGTTATATAGAAGTGAAAATTTGAAGCCAAATATGTTGATGTTTTCTAATTTTTTCTTCATAAAGAACAAATTTTAAACACTTCATAGACTCACCTTTTACTGCAAACTTCGATTAAACACTATTAAAGTAAAAACGTTCTTTAGTTTTCGGATGTACAATAAATACTTTGATAAAGGGCAAGTTTTATGACCTAAATGTTTAGTGCAAGAATTTTTTAAAACAAATGATAATTTTTATGTGATAATATATTTTTTAAACAATTTTTTTTACATTATCAGGATGTTAAGACCATCATAAAAGACAAGTTTTGTATTCAGATGCATGGTGCAAAAATATTTAAAAAGCAGTATTCATTTTTACGTATGTCATTTGTAATATCATATAGTCGTGAAAATAAGGTCGCGCATTGTGAATTTTTTTTTTTTTTTTTTTTTTTGACCATTTGATAAAATATTACGCATAGGTGTTATCAACTGTACAGTTAATGCAAAATATGGTATTTTTGTGAGACAATGTGACATAAATGTCATCCCGGTGACAAATAAATGGTTTAAAATTTTAATGGAAATAGATAGAAAGACTAAATTCTCAACTTTTGTACAAGTAAAAAACAAGGGACCCTCAATAAAAACATTGCAATACTTCCACTTAAATGTAATTTTGGCATGTTTTCGTATAATATTATATGAATTCGGAGATATCCAATATTATGAAATGGTTGAACAAGAAAAAACGTGACAAAATTGTCTAAAACACCTCATTTAATTTCGTTAAAAAGATAAAATATGTACGTTTTGATAAAATTGTAGTTCGTGCATGAAACGTGATACATGTGTTATCGGCCTCAATCTTATCTCGTTCCCCTCCTCGTTGCCATACGAATCGTCCATCGGATCATCAATTTTCTGCGAGTGACATCGCTTGTTCCATGTT